GATTACCATGTTTTGAAAGCTTAACTTGAGGGTCATTTTATTGTTCATCTTTTTTGTCTACAATAAAGATTTACTTGGAAATAGAGTAGTATAGGACAAACCAAATTCTATGAAACCATTAACTTCAAAAGAAACTTACAGCAGGCATTCAAAATGCACAACATTTTTTCAAACCACAAACATATGTAATGATGAAGAAGCACAAAGAAATTCAAACAAACAGCATTTGTACTAATATATGAGCATACAAATGATTTCTGTTTTATTTATATTTATTTAAAACTATGCATTCAATAATATTCGAAAATATAACACCTTCAAGAAATACTAAACACATTACACCCTTAAAATATAAAATACTTTAAATGTGCAGAATTAATAGTTAGCAATAAAATGTTGAAACAAAATAACATCTTAAAAGGACACTATAGTCACCTGAACAACTTCAGCTTAATGAGGTTGTTCAGGTGAGAATTATAGCTCCCTGCAGCCTTTCTCATGTAAACACTGTATTTTCTGAGAAAATACAGTGTTTATATTGAAAGCTAGGAAAGCCTCCAGTTGCAGTCACTCAGAGTGAACCAGAGGGACTTCGGAGTTGATGGAGGCATAATATGTGATTCAGTATCTCCTCCCACTGCATGCAGACACTGAACTTTCCTCATAGAGAATCATTGATTCAATTCACCTCTATGAGGAGATGCTGATTGGCCAGGGCTGGGTTTGAATCATGCTTGCTCTGCCCCAGATCTGCCTCCTTGTCAGTCTCAGCCAATCCTATGGGGAAGCACTGTGATTGGATCAGGCTATCACATGTCAGCAGACTGCTTGTTTTTCCTGTGTCTAACAGCATGCAGATTTACAGCTGCTGGCTTGAATACAGTAAGATTTTTACTATATTTATGGAGGCATGAAGGCCCAGGAGGGCTAGATGGTCGTGTTAACACTATAGTGTCAGGAATACATGTAGTTGCACTGGTGACTATAGTGTCCCTTTAACCCCTTAAGGACACATGACATGTGTGACATGTCATGATTCCCTTTTATTCCAGAAGTTTGGTCCTTAAGGGGTTAAACTTTTTAACCTGTTAACGACCACATGACGGTCTGTGCCATCATGCAGTGCAGGGCTTTAATGCCCCTTGGTGACATAGACCATTAATCAAAAAACCAGCATGGGTTAAATCCCTGCTGGTACCAATGACCCCAGGTATCTTTCGACATCTGATTGTCCCCTTTGTCAGCTGATACCACAGATAATGACCGCAGACTGACAGGAGAGTTATGTGCAGCGCTCAACGCGAGTGCTGCTCAAAGCCCCTTAAATCCTTGATCTCGCTCAGCCACGATATTTCTGAGTCTGCCCCCATCTGTAGAATAAAAAAAAAATGGTCTCAGCTTTGGTAAATGTAAAAATGCAATTGTCTCCCTTTTGCCGGATAGTGCTCGCCCCGATGCCGATGTTGTACTGGCGTCAGCAGGAGGAATACCTCTGAGGTTGGATTAGGGGATGTTTTAGGGGCAGGATTATGAGTTGGGTTATGGGTTGAATTATAGGTAAGATTATGGGTTGGTTTATTGGTTTAAAGGACCACTATAGTGCCAGGAAAACATACTCGTTTTCCTGGCACTATAGTGCCCTGAGGGTGCCCCCACCCTCAGGGACCCCCTCCCGCCCGGCTCTGGAAGGGGGAAAGGGGTTTAAACTTACCTTTTTCCAGCGCTGGGCGGAGAGCTCTCCTTCTCTCCTCCTCCGTTCCGCCCCGTCGGCTGAATGCGCACGCGCGGCAAGAGCTGCGCGCGCATTCAGCCGGTCGCATAGGAAAGCATTTACAATGTTTTCCTATGGACGCTGGCGTGCTCTCACTGTGAAAATCACAGTGAGAAGCACGCAAGCGCCTCTAGTGGCTGTCAATGAGACAGCCACTAGAGGATTAGGGGGAAGGCTTAACCCATTCTCTGAAACTGCTATGTTTATTAAAAAATAGGTTAACCCTAGCTGGACCTGGCACCCAGACCACTTCATTAAGCTGAAGTGGTCTGGGTGCCTAGAGTGGTCCTTTAAGGGTGGTTATTATTATTGGCATTTACATAGCGAGAATTTATTTAATAGCACTTTACAATATTACAAAGGAGGAAATATATATTGTCCGTTGTAGTCTACACATAGAACTCAATGTATATACAATATACTCACATTTACAGACTCCTATAAAAATGCCCACCGCTCGGATATACACTTGCTTCTTCAAAGCTCCCACTCAACCAGCACTATAGGGATGCAGGAAAGGTATCGCAATGGGTCACCTCTACTACGGAGTCTCAAATACTCCACTACGTCAAACCAACATGTTTTGTCTGACCACTCATACTTCCTCACTGTGGTGGGCAAGATTCAATGTTCATGGTTTGGCGGCTGGCTTGACTTCTCAGAGGGAATGGGGGGAGTCATCAAAAACGGCAATGTTTACCTTTATGGGTTAAACACATTTGCAGCGACTGTTACATTGACAGCTACTGGAGGCACTTCTGCTGCAACGACCAACTAAAGCTCGTTCATGTGATGAGCAGCCCCCATAATTGAACATTAATTCATTGATTAATTTTATTTCACAAAAATGGGGGTGGGTGGGATAGCATTAGAAATCCAGATGTGCATTCTTAATACTTTAGTGTTCCTTTAAGCAGTAGCAGTACATGTGCACATGTGGTCTTGGTGCTTTAAGAATGACTTATGGATACAGAACACATTGGAAGAGAATAAGTGAGAATTCTTGCATGATTAGCTCTAATAGGAAACTCATTTTCTTCAGATCTGATTTTTTTAAATGAACTTCTGTAAGCAAAAATGCCTATTAGTGCCATCTACTTCAGTATGGAATGTGAGAATGCAGAAATAGGAAACAATATGAGTTCCATGGTATCACTACAATCCACACAAAAAACAAAATAAAATCCAAACTTAAATAAACGTTAAATATTCAAAGGTTAAGCAATCGTGCTTCACTTTCCTGGAATTCATTAATGACTTGTTATATGTATTTCTGCATGGAACATGATTTCAGGTGGAGGTAAATCATGTGTTACTTTTGTAAACAAACCAGAACTGTCCAAACAAAGGCCTATAACAGTAGCATTAATTTCAAGGTGAAAGTGACCCAGCATCAAACAGAGCCACTATGTCAGCATGCGGGTTGCTTGATTTGTTAGAGAGCCAAGGAAAGCTGGCTAGTAATGCCATCAGGCCAACTGATTGCTGAACTTTGCTACTTTGTATGTATTTTTGCTAGTGGCCAATTAAAGGGACACTCCAGACCAGGGCCGGACTGGGAACAAAATTCGGCCCGGGCATTTTTCAGTCACAGCGGCCCACCCACTAACTAGTGACAAGCATGCCCCCTTTTAAAGTGAGCATGTTGGTTCAATGTGCAGAGCCCTGTTGAAGAGTTCTAGCATGTATTTGTTCAGCGCAGCGCAAGCAAATTTAATAACATGCTTGCGCTGTGCTTGCTTTTACCTTGTCCCTGGTGTCTCCATAAGTGGGATACAAGAGGAAATAAGGGAAAGTGCATCGTGCATGTGTTTGGAGCCTGCTTGTGGTATTACGTGTGTGTAGAGTGAGATGATTGTGTTGTGGTATTGTCCAAATAGGTCAATTGCATTTGTGTTTGTGGTGTAATATGTGTGGCTAGGGGCTGTAGAGAGTGTGTGTTTAGAGAATGTAGTATGTGTTTGCTTACAAGGAATATAGTGTGTGCATAGGGGATCCAGAGTTTGTATGTCAGGAATGTAGTGTGTGGAGGTGGTGCAGTGTGTGTGTGTGTAGGGAATCTAGTCCGTGAAGGACCCAAAGTGTGTATAGGAGATCTAGTATGTGTTTGTGTGTGTGTGTGTGTGTGTAGAGGATTCAGAATGTGTATAGAGATCTAGTGTGTGCATCATAGGCGTGCGCACGGGGTGTGCCGGGTGTGCCTGGGCACACCCTAATCCCCGTGGCACGCCTATGGTTTGAGTCCTGCAGGAACAGCGTTCCTGCAGGCACTCAGTGCCCCCTGTTTCACCTCTTGCCCCTGTCATGGGAGGGCAAGAGGTGATGATTCCACCCACCCTGCAGTTCAGCCGCGGCGAGGGAGCTCTCTGCTGTCTGCTCCCTCTCGCCGCGCGCTGATGCCGGGAGCCGGAATATGATGTCATATTCCGGCTCCCAGCTGCAGCAGACAGCCCGCGCGGCGAGAGGGAGCAGACAGCAGAGAGCTCCCTCGCCGCGGCTGAACTGCGGAAAGGCGCCCGCCCCCACTGGACCCCAGGGAAAAGTCCACCAGCACTCCAGGTAGGAGGCTGGGTGGACATTTTTTTTTAAAAATTAAAATATAATAATTTGTGTGTGTGTGTGTGTGTCAGTGTGTCTGTGAGTGTGTGAGTATGTGTCAGTGTGAGTGTGTGTCTGTGAGTGTGTGAGTATGTCAGTGTGAGTGTGTGTCTGTGAGTGTGTGAGTATGTCAGTGTGTGTTTCTGTGAGTGTGTGAGTATGTGTCAGTGTGTGTTTCTGTGAGTGTGAGTATGTGTCAGTGTGAGTGTGTGTCTGTGAGTGTGTGAGTATGTGTCAGTGTGTGTTTCTGTGAGTGTGTGAGTATGTGTCAGTGTGTGTTTCTGTGAGTGTGTGGGTATGTGTCAGTGTGAGTGTGTGTCTGTGAGTATGTGTCAGTGTGTGTTTCTGTGAGTGTGTGAGTATGTGTCAGTGTGAGTGTGTGTCTGTGAGTGTGTGAGTATGTGTCAGTGTGTCTGAGTGTGTGAGTATGTGTCAGTGTGTGTGTGTCTGTGAGTATGTGTCAGTGTGAGTGTGTGTGTGTCTGTGAGTGTGTGTGTCAGTGTGTCAGTGTGTGTCTGTGAGTGTGTGTGTGTGTGTGTCTGTGAGTGTATGAGTGTCTGTGAGTGTGTGTGTCTGTCTGTGAGTGTGTGTGTGTGTCTGTGAGTGTGTGTGTCTGTGAGTGTGTGTGTGTCTGTGAGAGTGTGTGTGTGTGTATATATATATATATATATACATACATACATACATACATACATACACACACACACACACACACACACACACACGCGCGCGCGCGGCGTGTGTTTGTGCTTTAGGGTGCACACCCTAATGCAATAGGCTGCGCACGCCTATGGTGTGCATGTGTGTGTAGATTAGATGATTCAGAGTTGGGTAAGGGATCTAGCGTGTATCTGGTATACAATGTGTGTAGTGGTGGGTGTGTGTGAGGGTGATGTGTGTGTGAGAGGGTGCTGTCTGTGTGATGTGTATTTTGTGTTTGAGGGTGATGTGAGTGTGAGGGTGCTGTGTGTGTGTGAGGGTGCTGTGACTGTGAGGCTTCTGTGTGTGTGTGAGGGTGCTGTGTGATAGAGTGCTGTGAGGGTGCTGTGAGGGTGCTGTGTGTGTGTGTGTGAGGGTGCTGTGAGTGTGAGGCAGCTGTGGGTGCTGTGGGTGCTGTGTGTGAGGGTGCTGTGAGTGTAAGGGTGCTGTGTCTGTTTGTGAATGTGCTGTGAATGTAAGAGTTCTGTGTGTGTGTGTGAGGGTGCTGTGAGTGTGCAGTGTGAGGGTGATGTGTGTGTGTTGTGTGTGTGTGTGAGGGTGCTGTTTGTGTCTGTGAGGTTGCTGTGTGTGTCTGTGAGGGTGCTGTAAGTGTGAGTGTGTTGTGAGGCTGCTGTGAGTGTGTGTGAGGGTGCTGTTGGTGTGAGGGCGCTGTGTGTGAGAGGCTGCTGTGTGTGGTGTGTATTTTATGTTTGAGAGTGATGTGTGTGTAAGGGTGCTGTGTGTGAGTGTAGTGTGTGTGTGAGGGTGCTAAATGATAGGGTGCTGTGAGTATGCTGTGTGTGTGTCTGTCTATGTGTGTGTGTGAGGGTGCTGTGAGTGTGAGGCAGCTGTGGGTGCTGTTTGTGAGGGTGCTGTGAGTGTGAGGGTGCTGTGTCTGTCTGTTAAGGTGCTGTGAATGTAAGGGTGCTGTGTGTGTGTGTGAGTGTGAGGGTGCTGAGAGTGTGCAGTGTGAGGGTGATGTGTGTGTGTTGTGTGTGTGAGGGTGCTGTGTGTGTCTGTGAGGTTGCTGTGTGTGTCTATGAGTGTGAGGGTGTTGTGAGTGTGTGTGAGGGTGCTGTGAGTGTGCGTAATGGTGCTGTGTGTGTGTGTGTGAGGGTGCTGTGAGTGTGAGGGTGCTGTGTGTGAGGGTGATGTGGGTGTGAGGGCGCTGTGTGTGTATGTGTGAGGATGCTGTGTATATGAGGGTGCTCTGTGTGAAGGTGCTGTGAGGGTGCTGTGTGTGTGAGGGTGCTGTGTGCGATGTTGCTGTAAGTGTGAGGGTGAAGTGTGTGTGCTGTGTGTGTGAGAGTGCTGTGTGTGTGTGAATGTAGTGTGTGTATGTGTGGGGGTTCTGTGAATGTGAGGGTGCTGTGTGTGTGAGAGTGCTGTGTGTGTGTGTAGTGTATGTGTGTGTGTGAAGGTGCTGTGAATGTGAGGGTGCTGTGTGTGTGAGAGTGCTGTGTGTGTGTGAGGGTGATGTGTGTGAGGGTGCTGTGTGTATGAGAGTGCTGTGAGGGTGGTATGAATGTGAGGCAGCTGTGTGTGAGGGTGCTGTGTCTGTGAGGGTGCTGTGTGTCTGAAGGTGCTCTGTGTGTGAGGGTGCTGTGAGTGTGAGGGTGTTCTGAGGGTGCTGTGAGTGTGTGTGAGGTTGCTGTGAGTGTGTATATGGGTGCTGTATGTGTGTGTGTGAGGGTGCTGTGAGTGCTGTGCGTGTGAGGGTGATCTGTGTGAGTGTGCTTTGTGAGGGTGCTGTGAGTGTGCTGTGTGTGAGGGTGGTTTGAGTGTGAGGCAGCTGTGTGTGAGGGTGCTGTGTGTGTGTAAGCGTACTGTGCGTGAGGGTGCTGTGTGAGTCTGTGAGGGTTCTGTGAGTTTGGGTGCTGTGAGTGTGAGGGTGTGGTGAGTGTGTTGTGAGGGTGGTTTGAGTGTGAGGGTGCTGTGTGCGAGGGTGCTGTGTGTGTGAAGGTGCTGTGAGTGTGAGGGCGCTGTGTGTGTATGTGTGAGGGTGCTGTGTGTATGAGGGTGCTGTGTGTGTGAGGGTGTTGTGAGGATGCTGTTTGTGCGCAAGGGTGCTGTGTGTGCTGTGAGTGTGAGGATGATCTGTGTGTGAGGTTGCTGTAAGTGTGAGGGTGAAGTGTGTGTGAGTGTAGTGTGTGTGTGTGTGTGTGAAGGTGCTGTGAATGTGAGAGTGCTGTGTTGTGAGGGTGCTGTGTGTGCTGTGAGTGTGCTGTGTGTGTGAGGGTGATCTGTGTGTGAGGTTGCTGTAAGTGTGAGGGTGAAGTGAGTGTAGTGTGTGTGTGTGAGGGTGCTGTGAATGTGAAGGTGCTGTGAGTGTGCTGTGAGTGTGAGGCAGCTGTGTGTGTGGGTGCTGTGAGTGTGAATGAGCTCTGTGTGTGAGGGTGCTGTGAGTGTGAGGGTGCTGTGCATGTGCTGTGTGTGAGAGTGCTGTGAGTGTGAGGCAGCTGTGTGTGCTGTGTGTGAGGGTGCTGTGAGTGTGTGTGAGGGTGCTGTGTGTGTTAGGGTGCTGTTAGTGTGAGGGTGCTGTGTGTGAAAGTTCTGTGATTGTGAGGGTGTTGTGAGGGTGCTGTGTGTGAAGTTGCTGTAAGTGAGGTTGAAGTGTGTGTGCTGTGTGTGAGAGTGCTGTGTGTGTGTTAGTGTAGTGTGTGTATGTGTGGGGGTTCTGTGAATGTGAGGGTGCTGTGTGTGTGAGGGTGCTGTGAGTGTGAGGCAGCTGTATGTGTGTGAGGCAGCTGTTTGTGTGTGAAGGTGTTGTGAGGGTGCTGTGTGTGTGAGCGTGCTGTGAGTGTTCTGTGTCTGTGAGGGTGCTGTGTGTATGTGTGGTTGCTGTGTGTGAGGGTGCTGTGAGTGTGAAGGTGATGTGTGTGTGAGGGTACTGTGAGTGTGCTGTGTGTGAGGGTTATGTAAGTGTGAGGCACCTGTGTGTGCTGTATGTGAGGGTGCTGTGAATGTGAGGCACCTGTGTGTGCAAGTGTGAGTGTGCGAGGGTCCAGTGTGTGTGTGTGTGTGAGGGTGCTGTGAGCATGAGGTGTGTGTGAGGGTGCTGTGAGTGTGAGAGGGTGCTGTGTGTGTAAGAGTGATGTGAGTGTGTTGTGTGTGTGTGAGAGTGCTGTGAGTGTTAGGGTTATGTGTGTGTGAGGGTGCTGGGAGTGTGAGGCAGCTGTGTGTGAGCGTGCTGTGAGTGTGAGGGTGCTGTGTGATTGTGTGATGCGCATGTGAGTGTGCTGTTTGTGTAAGAGTGATGTGTGTATGTTGTTTGTGTGTGAGGGTGCTGTGTGTGTGTGAGGGTGCTGTGAGTGTGAGGCAGCTGTGTGTGGGGGTGCTGTGAGTTTGAGGGTGCCATGTGTGTGAGGGTGTTGTGTGTGAGGGTGGTGTGTGTGAGGTTTCTGTGAGTGTTAGGCAGCTGTGTGTGCTGTGTGTGTGCATTAGGGTACTGTGAGTGTGAGGGTGCTGTGTGTGCAAGTATGCTTTGTGAGTGTGCAAGGGTGCTGTGAGTGTGAGGTGTGTATGTGAGGGTGCTGTGTGTGAGGTTGCTGTAAGTATGAGGGTGAAGTGTGTGTGCTGTGTGTGTGAGAGTGCTGTGTGTGTGTGAATGTAGTGTGTGTATGTGTGGGGGTTCTGTGAATGTGAGGGTACTGTGAGTGTGCTGTGTGTGAGGGTGATGTGAGTGTGAGGCACCTGTGTGTGCTGTATGTGAGGGTGCTGTGAATGTGAGGCATCTGTGTGTGCAAGTGTGAGTGTGCGAGGGTCCAGTGTGTGTGTGTGTGAGGGTGCTGTATGTGTGTGAGGGTGCTGTATGTGTGTGAGGGTGCTGTGAGCATGAGGTGTGTATGTGAGGGTGCTGTGAGTGTGAGAGGGTGCTGTGTGTGTAAGAGTGATGTGAGTGTGTTGTGTGTGTGTGAGGGTGCTGTGAGTGTTAGGGTTATGTGTGTGTGAGGGGGCTGTGAGTGTGAGGCAGGTGTGTGTGCTGTGTGTGAGCGTGCAGTGAGTGTGAGGGTGCTGTGTGATTGTGTGATGTGCATGTGAGTGTGCTGTGTGTGTAAGAGTGATGTGTGTATGTTGCGTGTGTGTGAGGGTGCTTTGTGTGTGAGGCAGCTGTGTGTGGGGGTGCTGTGAGTTTAAGGGTGCCATGTGTGTGAGGGTGCTGTGTGTGAGGGTGGTGTGTGTGAGGTTTCCGTGAGTGTTAGGCAGCTGTGTGTGTTGTGTGTGTGTATGAGGGTACTGTGAGTGTGAGGGTGCTGTGTGTGCAAGTATGCTTTGTGAGTGTGCGAGGGTGCAGTGTGTGTGTGTGTGAGGGTGCTGTGCGTGTGAGGTGTGTATGTGAGGGTGCTCCCTGTGTCCTCCCTCCCCAGCCGGCGGCCGCATGTCCCTAGCCGAGGGGCGCATCTTTGATCTCCCTACCAGCCCAAGAAGGCACACAACAGGGCTAGTGTTCGGATAGTGCCTGACAGGCATTTGCCCAGTATGCCTGATGGCCAGTCCGAGCCTGCTCCAGATTTCTAAAGGACGTCATCTTGTTGGCGTTTAAAAACAAAAAGTGTAAAGAAGGGAGGTGGGAGGGAGCTCAATGTGGACGTGAAGGAGCGCAATATGGGCGCGAAGGAGCACAATGTGGGTGGGAGGGGATAGCGCTCTGCTCGAAATGGAAATATTTTTATGTTTGTTGGTAGTGTGCAGTGTATTTTATGCACAGAATTTACATTAGGCAGTCTGAAACAGAGTTCTGGGCATCTAATGGCACCAGAAACTAGCCCCCAGCACACACTTACAAATATCTCAATATGTGTACATGCTGAAACACTGCACATTCTGATTCCTAATCACTGACTCCAAATCACTGATGTATTCACGGTGGTTGGAGTAACCGTTTAAACCCTTGCCTCTAAAGGTTATTTAACTATTTGCCCGCTAGCGCTGCCAGTAGAATAGTATTATAAAATTATCGTTTGCTTGCATAAAAACAAATGAGTGATAATTTGCGAATGTGCATCCTGCTGGGTGCATTTGTTCA